GAATCAGGAAGCAAGTTACATGTCACAGAATTCCCAGCCTCAGACCTGCTCTTGTGCCCTCAGTAGCTGTATTACTGGTCCAGTTTAGTTTCTAAACCCAGGATGTTGATGGTAGGTTATTCAGAAATGGTAACAAATAGCTTAATTGCTATTGAATATCAAAGAGAGATGGCTAGATTCTCACCTTACCTAGCACTTGTTTTGATGTGAAAGTTGAAAGCAGTACTTTGACTTCAGAGTGTTTGTTGAGAGGGTTGACTCTCAAAATGAATTATATCAGACCCACACTTTCACTCTCCATCCAAAACATGATTGGATGCTGCTTAACCTTTATTATAACATACAGCATAGAACAGAACAGTACAGGCACTTCGGCCCACGATGTTGTGCCAATCTATTATCCTACTAAGATCAATCTACCCTGCATACCCTATATTTTACTATCCTCCATGTCCCTATCCAAGAGTCGCTTAGAAGTCTCTAAAGTATCTGACTCCACTACCACTGCCGGCAGCACATTCCACATGCCCACCACTCTCTGCGTAAAGAACCTACCTCTGGCATCTCCCCTATACCTTCCTCCAATCACTTTAAAATTATGCCCCCTCGTAATAGTCATTTCCGCCCTGGGAAAAAGTCTCTGACTATCCACTCTATCTATGCCTCTCATCATCTTGTACATCTTTATCAAGTCACCTCTCATCCTTATGACATGTCCTATTCAAGTTGATGGTTACTGGCTGACTCTATTTTCTTCTGCTAATCCCAAGGTATTATTTGTGATTAACCAAGCTAACTTAGACAGCAACTTCTCATTAGACACAATGTTTTCATGTTTCCCCTTTCACAAATCTTGCACTTACAAATCATGTTTTACACCATTTGAGTAGGCAAGCAACAAACAGTACTTGGGAAAGTGAAGGATACATAACAATCAAAAAGCACTTATAACTCAATCGCCTCTTGCACGACCATTTTACAACTATGTGTACAGACAGTTAAATTTCAGGTGCATGTACCATGTGGATGAACATTAAAATTACATAAAAATGAGCAGTATAAAACAATTGGTTGTGTATCAAAAGAATGTTGTGTTTGTGCCTAAAATAAGATCATGAGAAATAGGAGAAAGTGGCCAGTTGGCTCATAAAAGCCTCCTTTATTATACTCCTTTACCATGCAATACAGGCCAAAATTCATTTAACTTCCAAACTACTGTCTTTAAATACTCACTGTTTTTACTTTTTTATTTTTATGTTTTTGTAGAAGCTTTTATTGTATTTTTATAATTTTTGCTACTTTTCTCATACTCCAATTTCTCAGTGTTACAGCCATCCTTTACTGAAGTGCTTCCATTCTTCCAACCAAATATCTTCCAGCATATTTATGTTTTTCTTTCAATTTTATACCATTTTTAACTTCTTCACTTAGCCATAAATGAAAGTCCTCCATTTTGATCAGTCACAAGCCAGCATCTTCCATTGATGAAACAGAGATGTTTGGGATAGTCTGAGGACATCCTTGAACCACTTCCACTGTTCTCCTCGGAGTGTTTTGCTGCAACCAAGTTCTAAGAAGAAAAGTTGTCTTGGGAGTCTAGTGGCAGGTATAGAAATTACATGTCCTGCCAAGTGAGGTTGGCTGCGAGTGATTATCACCTTGATGCTGCTGGAAGCTGCTGTTGGGACTAGCTACCTGGTCACTTGATCTGAAAGATGTTGAAAAGGCACAACGGGTGGTAATTTTCACATGCTTTGAAGTATTTGCTGTCAGTTATTCAAATCTCCAAAGCATTTATGAGTATGGGAATCACTGCTATTCATGGCTTTATTCTCAGGTTCGAGGTCCTAGTCCTCAAATGCTCTTTTCCTTAGTCAGCTGAAAGGCAAACTGACCCATTGGAGGAAATGATGAATTTTGACTTTTCTGCCGGCTTTTGCTAAAAGTAGGCTTCTAATATACAAGAAATGGTCCATATATTGATCTTAATTGACAGCAGGGATGCCTTGTGTTACAAAGTTATGTAGAGTAAACGTGAATTGCAATGCAGGAAGCGAGAATTTGTTTGTTAAAAAAATGATAAAGGGAGAAGTGTGTGTGGTTCCTTGAAGAAGTAAAATGCTTTTCTAACCTTAGAGATTTATACAGAACATATATCTAAGCAGCTGAAGGGGTACAGACAGTTCTGAAATTGAAACATGTATCAGTTGGCTATGTGATTGGAAACCTTAGGCTTGTTTTGACGTTTTAGCAACTAGCTGGAATCAGCCAATTAATTTAAACCAAACATTTAGTGATTGAAAGCCAATTAAATTTAAATCTGATGGTTTTGACGACTTCGGACCAATGCTGTTGTAGGAAAATTGATATGTCATCCAAGGTATATAAGGAGAGGGTTTATTGAGAGAGAGTAAACTGCCATCTGAGAAATAAACATCCAGCTCTTACAAGAAATCGCTAAGCTCTCTAAGAAAGCATCATCTATCCATAAAAGATACCACGGCACTTCTAGCTAAGAGTCCTCACGGAAGACTTCACAGAGAAAACATCCCTGACAGACAGATCAGTGGAAGAAAGGCGTTTATGACTTGAGAACAGCAGAAGAAAGGCATGTAGACTTTGAGAGACTAAGTTTTAATTTTTTTTTTTCTTGTTACTTGGGTTATATAAGTGGGATTTGTGTTTATTGGAACAGCATACCAGTAGAATTTATTTCAGTTAGGAAATAGTTAGTAGTTAAGGGGAATTGTTTGGTTTGTTAGTAATTCTGTTAATTCGTTCACTGTTAGGGTTAAATAAATAAATTGTTACTTGTTACTTATAAAGTGAATCTTGGGGATTTTCTTTCATTTAACCTCCCTTTCTCCCCAACAGTTTAACAGATTAGATGAGGTCGGGCGAGCTTCTCTGGGTGTTTCAGGTTTAATTATTAGAAGGGGACCTCTACTCCCGCCATAACAGATTGGGGGCTTGTGTTTCAGTTTTAATTATCAGAGGGGTTCAACATCCCCTTCTTAACACTTGTACTCTAAAAGCTGTTTGAGAAGAAAAGGAGCTCCAGATTATTGCACTCTAGTTGATCTGCAGGGGAAAGCTTTACATGTTGCTTTGAAAAGAATTGTGCAAAGAGTTTCTCTGTTCCCTAATTATCCTATATCACTAACAAATAGCAAAATATACTGTAACTACGCTCCTAAATGAAACACCAAAGACACAGAATTGTATTGGTGCAGAAGGAAGCCATATGGCTCTCTGAATGAGCACTATAACTGAGGGTTATGGGGATAAAGCACAACAACGGCACTATATTATATCCTATACTGATGAATAATCCCTTGTTCCTATTTATGCAAGCCAAAAATATGCATAAATTCATCAAATTGCACACTTAGTTGAGAGAATAAACAAATTTTTGTCATCACAAATTTTTCTAAGGTAATGACCTCATAGCTACAGTTGATGAAAAGTACCTATGTATGGGTCATCCAGCAGTTCACTTACCTGCTAAACATATGATATACGGACTCTGTCATCAAGTGCAACTTAATGACAAAATTGAGGCAATTAAAATAATTAATTTGACTGAAAGCTCACAAGAACTCAAGCTCAAAACTGGACACTACATCTTGTCCTACAGCTAAGCCTGCAGTTAGTATTTATTACAAATTGCAGCAAAATCAGTTGGCGAGAATCCATAACAAAAGGGTTTCAGATACAACAACGTTAAAATTATATCCTATCTCAATGCAGTAAAATCGCATATGTCACAGCACTGATAACATATCAAATCTCAATGCATTAAAATTGAGAATCTTGACAACAGTACAAAAAAAATTCCATCAGAGGCTAAAAGCCTCAGATTATAGTGAGAGCTTTTTGTGCACAGTGAGCTAATACAACAACAGCACTCAATGACTTACTGCCTCTCCTCTGCTTATAGAAGGCAGGCTGGGAGGTTCCTGGCTTGACTCAGAGGTTGTCCCCTCATTTGTGAGTAAGAATGTTATCGCTTCAAGTGACATTGCAAAATTTGAGACATGTTCTAGGTGGATACTACAATGCAGTTAATTGGTGGGCAGGGATGTGGGGGTGGGGCTGCATGTCTGAGATGCCATTTTCCTGCTGAGACATGAAACTGAAGCCATGTCTACTTGTCCAGGTGATTGTAAAGGATGCCTCTAAAAAGGACACGATGGTCTACACCAAGAGAGTGCCAGTGAGCACGGAGTTGTCTAATACCCTGGCTAACATTTATTTCTCAACCAACACCACCATAAGCAAATTAACTTGTCAATTTATCTCATGCCTGTTTGTGGCACCTTGTGTTTGTTTAATTTGCATACAAATCGACAATAACTGATCTTCAACATCAATGTATTGAGCTATGAAATACTTTGGGAAATATTAAGAACACAAAAGCCTGACGTATAAATGCAAGATCATTCTTTTTATGCATTACATTCACTGGTCTTAAAAAAATCCTTTTATGAACCATAATTTTCTGGAAGGGCATAAAACAAAAAAATGCAGAATAAATAAAGACCATTTTCGAATATCTGAAAAATACTCTGTTTCAAAATTAATGCTTACTTAACAAAATAGCAACCTGCATCATTCAGCAAGAGACTTTTAAATAAACTACTGGCCACGTTCTAAGAAAAGCTATACATTCTCTTTTAATAGTAACACTTTTGACTTACAAAACTTCACAATTAGAGCCATCTTAGATCATCTTTCCAATACGAATCCAGAGTTACTTGCAACTGAATTCTGGTTTTTTTAAAAGTGTTAAATAAAATCACTTTTATTTATACTGCATTATTATTTCAACAATCCTAAAAGAAATTTCATAAACCACTGAAGAGATTTGCAATGAGAAACCAAAGCAACTTTGTACAGGCCCCATTACAACTGTTTCCATATTAATCAAATAAAGAGTGAACACACTCAAATAGGGACTTTAACAAGACCCCATACACATACAAATGCACTGATCTTACCCCAGTTGGTTGAAAAATTAGTCCATCCACTTCATGGCTGACTTCACGAGCAAAACTTCCTTCCAGAAGCTAAATTAGGAATGGAACAATTGAAATAGACAATTTCAATTACTAAACTGATTGTCAAATAACTGGAAAAGTTATTAAGCTGCAAATTGCAGATGATGAAAAAGATGACATTTTAATTTGATGATAGGTACTTCAAGGACCACCGAAATATTTTAGTTGAAAATAAAACAGAACAAAGTTTATCTAAATCCATATCTAAATACCTGCCCATGGTAGATTAATAATTTATTCCTTTGTCAAGGTAGGCTAAATGGTCATAATGGTTTTATCATCATTTTGAACAGCTTGTTATTCTGGGATAAATCTAGTCCAGATAATCCATCCTTAAAAGGTCCTCATTAGACCAGCAGTGGGATGTATACCCGTGCTGAAAAGGCACATACAGTCAGTGATTAAACTCCACAAAACATACAAATGTATAAATTAGGAGCAGAAGTAGGCCGTTTTGCCCCTCAAAATTACACTGCCATTCAGCGAGAACATGATGTGCTTCAAACACCACATAGTAAGTTTATTTTATTCTAATATAGGATGTGGGCATTGTCGGCTAGGTAAGCATTTATTGCCCAATCCTAAGTTAAGACACAACCACATTTACTGTGGTTACTCGAGGGGAGGCGATGACCTAGTGGCATTACTGCTGGACTGTTAATCCAGAGACCCAGATAATGTTCTGGGGACCCAGGTTCAAATCCCACCAAAGTAGATGGTTGAATTTGAATTCAAATTCAATAAAATATCTGGAATTAAGAATCTAATGATGACCATGAATCATAGAATGATCCACTGTCGATTGTAGGAAAAACCCATCTGGTTCACTAATGTCCTTTAGGGAAGGAAACTGCCATCCTTACCTGGTTTGGCCTAAATGTAACTCCAAACCCACAGCAATGTGGTTGACTCTGAACTGCCCTCTAAGCAATTACGGATGGGCAATAAATGCTGCCTAACCAGTGACGCCCTCATCCTGTGAATGAATAAAGAAAAAAAGCCGTGGTTCTGTAATCACATGTAGGCCAGACCAGGTAAAAATGCCAGATTTCTTTCCCTAAAGGACATTAGTGCACTGGATGGGTTTTTTTTCCAAATGATAAGCAACAATGGCCACATGGTCACTATTAAGTTAGCTTTCATTCCAGACCATTACTGAATTCAAATCTGTGGGATTCTAACCCATGTCCTCGGAACATTAACCAGGGGTTTTGGATTGCTAGTACAATGACACCGTCTCCCCTTTTGCAGTCATCTTTGTTGCACTTTAGTTTACAAGCATGTTTCTGTATGACAGAGGCTCAACTGACACTCCAGAAAAGCGTCTACGGCAAGTTTATGAAAAACAAATCGAGCTTTGTGCATATTTTTATTGCTGAAAGGGAACTGCAGTTCACATCAGCATCAATTCAGTGTACAGCACATATCTGAGAACAATTTGATTTGTACATGAAGTCTACTTCTGCATCAACCACATATCCCTTTGATAGTCAGTAAACTGTGAATTAATATGACCCTCTTTTTCCAATTTATATGATTTTAAGTTACAGTATTCCAGCAGGCAAACATTTTTTAAAAACAGGTTAAACAAGATTAAAAATGATGATTGAATGCTTAATAATAAAGAAATACAGTCTATTAATCAAAATAATTATAGATACTAAGATTATGACCAATACAGAGACGACAGAATAACTCCTCCAAGGATAAAGCCTCAGTACGTCTCTGTGGTACACTTACAGGAGGGAATTCCAGCAGTATCCGCCTGCAGCAATTCAAGGAGGCAACTTACCACCACATTTTCAAAAGCAACTAGGGATGGGCAACAAATGCTGGCCCAGCCAGCAACACCCACATCCCAGGAACGAATAAAAAGTTAGTTGTGCTGAAACAGGACACAATCTGTAGATGATTCTTGAAGCAAACTCTTACTGAAAACATTGTTCTCTGAAGATGTTGCCTCTCAATGACCTTCCTCAGGGACTTCTCATTTTTGAAAAACAGGATTTCACAGATTTACAGCAAACTTAAGATGGCTGCTGTAATGTCTGATGAATCATTGTTCCACAAAGCAAAGTCAATTACACTGAATTGTAGGGATTTCTTCCAGTCTGTTGCATGTCTCAAAAACTTTCCATTTCCATATCCTAAAAACAAGTGCGTTGTGTAAAGGTAATCAAACTCAAAACGGCCCCTTTTGTGGCTGCTATTAAGATAATATGGTTAATGGGTCTGCTTTATGGATGGTTGAGGTCAGAATCAGCCACACAACTTCTGGCTATCTTTTAAGCTGATGTGTCAATTATTTAAAGTTAAATTTTCCTCCTTTGCAAAATATACAACATTATATCACACAGTTATGACATTAGTTTCAGAGAAAACTAAAAGGAAACTTACTGTGATATTTGATTGATAAATGATGGGTTATACAATTAAATAAAAAAATATCAACTGTAAAGTATGGAGGCTTCCCAATTTCTTTTGCATTCAATAGACCATAGTCAGTTACAGGACAGCTTCTTCTCATTCTAATACAAGTGAAAACTTGAAGTCATAAAAAAAAGACTGATACTGAGAAAAAAGGAATAGCAACAATAGAAAGAAACAGCCAGCTTGAATTCCTGCATTCAAACTAACTATAGAATTATCCAATTGAGCAGACTGTAAATATGGAATAATTACTTAACCAGAAAATTAACCAGAAAATTAAACAGTGAATGATTAATTAACTGACAGGCAAAATAACTATTGAATAATTATTTTCTAGTTTATTGGTAAAATAGATAGGGCAGAAGAAACTGGCAATATACAGAGAGAGAGAGACAGAGATACAGAGACACATCAGCAATCAGAACTAAAGTGACACAGGGAGTGATTGGTTCGTAGCAAAGTCAGAGAGATCTACAGCACTGAAAAAAAGACACTACAGCCCATCAAGTCAGCACAAGTTAAAAACAAGCACCTAGCTCATCTAAACTCTTCTTAAATGTAATGAAGGTTTCTGTCTCTATCACCTCACAGGCAGTGAGTTCAATTTTCCCATCATGCTCTTAGGCCACCTAAAGTATTGTTTGCAGTTCTGGAATCCACATTATAGAAGGTATGTGATTATACTAGAGAGGGAGCAGAGGAGATTTACCAGAATGTTTGCCTGGGCTAGACAGTTTTAGTTAGGACGAACATGAACTTCATTTCTGGAGGGGGTAGTTACGATATGGAATAGCAAGCATTGAGATAAAGTTTGAATGTTAATAAGGATTTGAGATCTGAAGATTAGTTTCAGATTGAACAGGTCACAGAATTCAATTTAGCCCAAGAGAGAGGTGCAGACAAAGAAGGAGTCAGTGATAAGCAAGAAGACGACACAGGAGCCACAAACTAAGATGTTAGACTGTCTTATGTTGATTTTGAGGGAACTATTACACAAAAAGAACTTTTAAAAAAAAGATTTCTGGAATGTAGGCAACAGCGACAAAGTCAGCATTTATTAACCAAGCACATTGTTCTTGGGAAAGTGGTGGTGAGCTACTGCCTGAGTTTTGAGGAATACTGTGAAGTCCAAGAATGAACATGACTGCACAGACCAGTGGTCCTAAGAAGGAAAGTATAGACTAACTCAGTTACTTCAGAGTGAAAAGTCAGAAGTGCTGGGATAAAACCCTAGAGAGGTTACTGCACATCTAAACTCTGATGTATATCTCCAGGAAGATATCTGCAGTTCCAGTCAAAATATTGAAGTCACACATACATCACTTGCAGCCTGTCAGCCGAAGCCTGGATGTTATCCAGGTATTGCTGCGTATGGTCATGGATGGCTTCACTCTGAGGAATGGTGAATACCACTGGACATTGTGCAAACATCAGCAAACATTGCCATTTCTGATTTCATAATGGGAAAACTTTTGCCATTCAATCTTGAGTGTGCAAAGAACTAAATGGGTGACAACCCATTTAGAATTTCAGTTGAGCTTACAATGTGGCACAGTGTGGTACTGCAATATGTCAAAATGAAGACAGTGTTCTTTGCAGAAATAAAGCACACACAGAAGTAGTACAGAAAAGAAAAACATTAATGTTTAGATAGTACCCAAAACACACCCTTAATTGTACCCAAAAACACTACTCATTCATTACACATACCAGAGTGATACCTCAATAGGTTAAAGTCACTTGGAACTCACCAACGCTCCTTCAAGCACACCTTTCAAAATCATCTCCTCAACAACACTGGGAACAGCACCGTCTCCAAGTTCCGGTCTAAGTTACACACCATTCTGAAATGGAACCACAACTGCTTTTCCTTCAGAGTCGCTGGGTAAAAATCCTGGAACTCCCTACTATCAGCACTGTGGGTGTCCCTACATGCCAAGAATAGCAGTTCACCATCACCATCTCCAGAATAGTTAGAGATGGACAATAGATTCTGATCCAGCCAGGGCACCAACATTTCAAACAAATTTTTTAAGAAGCATGTTAAACCTGTATCAAACACTGATATAGCCTCAACTGGCACAGTGCATCCAGCTTATGGCACCCCATTTTAGGGAGAATAAGAAGGTATTACAGATAGTGCATAAAACATTCATGAAACTGGTTTCAGGGATGAGGACTTTGGTTATGTAAATAGTATTGAGAAGTTGGAACTGGTCTCCTTGAAGTTAGAGGTTTGCAAAGTCATGAGGGGTCTGGACTAAACAGATAGGGAGAAACTTTTCCTAATGATGGAAGGATCAAGAACTAGAGGGCACAGAATTAAGACAATCGGCAAAAGAAGCAATAGGCAACATTAGGAAAAAGTTTCTTTTCACAAAGCGAGTGATTAAGATCTGGAATATACTGCTCAAGACTATAGTGGAAATATTGTCAACTGAAACTTTCGAACTAAAATACAATCACTATCTGAAAAGGAAACATTTGCAGGGCAATGTAAAGAGGAGAGAGGAGTGGCATTCAAAGACTTCTTCCTTCGGTAGGCCAGATTTTTATCTTAGACAAATGATGGGCCAAAT